CCCCGCCCGTCCATTTACTTTGGGTGTAAAAGCTGTGGAAAAATAAAAGCAGGTAATTTCAATAATCACTGGAATACCCTCCCGGTATTATTCTATGGTTTCTGTCTTATTATTTTTATGCATCTTTGCATTCTTCACTTATATTTCTAAAATTCCACGCCCCTACCCTGGCAAGAGGAATTTTCGTTGAGGCCAGTCCTCGAGAGGGAATAACGACATGCTCACTACAGTCACAATTAGTTGGCTGGAATCAAAGTTCCTAACGGATCCCTTTAAATCTGAAATAACAGGAGCTGAGGAGGTGACTCGGTCAGTGAAGTACGTGCTGTGCAAGTGAGGACCTGAGATATAGCCATAGCAGTCACGTGCACTTCTAATCCCAGCACTGGGCAGCCAGACAGGAGGATCCGCTGGGATTACTGAATAGCCAAATAACATGAATCAGTGAACCCCAGGTTCAGTGAGAGACCCTGCCTCAAAAATCTCTGGGGATGCCCTTTTTGAGAAAAAAAAAGAGTACAAGCTAATATAAGCTAAAAGGAAAACAGCAGCATGTAAATGTGGGACCCTCACCCCTTCTTCTCAAAGGGGCAAAAAGAAATTTCCTAGCAGAATGTTTTCCCAGGAAGATAGTGGCCTTCCCCTCTCCCACCCAGGAGATTCCGAGCACAAGGTCACTTAGCTCAGCCCGGTCAGCCACCTGGTACAGGCTGATAAAGATGGCCTAACTCAAGAACAGTGGCCTTGCTCTAAGAACAAGGAAAAAGCTGACTTAACAGAGTGGGAGGGAGCAAAAGTCCTTGTACCCGTACCAAAACATCTTCAAAGATTCTCTTTGTAGTTATGCCTTTAAACGCTTACCCCACAGAGGAGATACAACTCCTCTCTACCTTGTTGTCACGGGGATGGAGAGGAGTTCCAAACATGTTTGTATTATGCTGATCAAACCTTGCTTGTTACAGTCTGGGCCTTTCTGGTGTTCTCTCTCTGGGGATCGTGATCTGGGCACAACAGTAAGTTGTGTGGTTAGAGATGCAGTGTGGAGTGCAGTCTAGACAATAGCTTCCACCAGGATGTCCGGTGGAATCCATGGGTCTTAAGATTTGGAACTGAAATCATGGTTACTGATTTTGTGGAATGTAAATCAGGATATTAAAAAGAACAGCTTCACCTGGGTACACGTTGACTCAGTATTCCTGCAAGGCAAGAATACCTCCTGTCACACAACAGAGTTGGCTAGGCGTCTTAATTTTCATTAATGGAAAAATAATTTATAAAAGAAGTTGAAGATTTAGGTGATTAATTAAGGCAATACGGGAGTGTGGTGGTTCATTTCAAATATTATATGGGCTCTGCTGAAGCATACCCAAAATAACATTATTTCTGCCTGTGTCCCTGGGGGTAAATTTTGAAAACAATTGACATTTGAATAACTGCAAAAAATCACCTCCAATACAGCTGGATAGTGCTCGAATATACCACTGGCACTCTGAATAGAACGCAAGGGTGAGACAGGCCAAGTTATGAGTTTTTCAGCTCACGGAGCAGGGTAGACTTACAGTAGCTGCCCTGACTGACTGACGGACTGACTGACGGACTGACTGACTGACTGACTGACTGACTGACTGCAGCGTAGATTAAAGCACCATCCACTGTGGGGGGGATTAGAAATGCTAGACTTGCTTTGATTCAATGTAGAGAAGCGGTCCAAAGTCCTAGAGATGTCATAATGCCAAGTTCATTCATCGTTTACAACACACTTGTCCACTCTAAAGAGGATATGTACCTTTTCTAGGTAGTGTGAAAAATAGATTTGTGACAGAAACCCCAGCCTCCATCAGAGCTCTACGATGCCTTGCTCCTTAGGCTAAACCAAACTGTGGGAAACACAGCCATTAAGTGGGAAACTAAATGCAGTGGGAGATGAGTCCTTGGGTATCAGTGGACAACTGCCAGTGTTGAGCCACCTATGGGAACATGGATGTAGTTACCATAGAGGACAATGGAGGCGAGCAGGTACCAAAAATAGTTGACTTATGCAAGCTTAAGAACTTGACTAATCATAGTAAGCCTAGGAGTGAGATGAACAAGACACAGACTCAATTCTCAACCCATATGTGAAAAAGGAAAGTTTTATGTCAAGCTAACAAACTTCTAATTCAAATCACCTCCAATACAATAAGAGAAAAAAAAAGAAAAAAAAAAAACAGTCAATCTTCTTGTCCGATCACTAAACTTGTGCTGAATTGTTGAAGTCAGAGAGAAAACCTTTGTCCTCAATCAAACATTTATATGGTTAATATTTCTCCCAGCTTTCCGTTAAAGGGACCTTTAGCCTTTAACCAGGATATCTGTACACAAGGGAAAATCAAATGCTCATTGCTTTGGGGGACTTCTGGACTCTGTCTATAAAATGGCAATGGATCCAGGTTGACCATAAGTGCTATTGAGGCATACTAGAGTAGATGAGCATGGGGGTAAGGGGTCACCCTATGTCCATATCACAGTAGATCCCTGAACCAATCCAGTCCCAGACACGTAGTTGTGGTAAACATACTTAACAGTCGATACAATGTCAACATGGGTTCTTGATCCAATGCACACAAACTATGACTGCCGGCGGGAGAAACTAAGTGGGGCCGTCAGAGCCCTTCCATTTCGAGCAATCGTAATCTAAATCAATGCTGCGTTCCCAGAGGATTGCCAAGGTTAGTGCAATACTGAAAATGTGATAGATGCAAAGGGGGTGAGGAGCTCCTGCCGCAGCCTTGTCCGGTCCTGTTCTGCCTGTGTGGAAAACAAATGGGTCATGGAGAGAGAGAGATTGCAGAATGCCGTGAGCTTCGCCAGGCTGCACCTCCAATTGTGGCAGTTGTACCAGATGTGTGCGATTTTTTAAATTGTTGGGCAAGCAAATTAGTGCATACCTCGGTAACTCATATGCAGTTGTAGGTGGGTCTAGTAAATGTTTAATTCTTTTTCTCCCCCGTATTTCTCCTGAAGACCCACAAGGATAGATTTGCTTTCCATCTGGCAAGGCCAACAATATGCTTTCACCGTCCTATCTCAGACCTATGCCAGCCCTCAGCTTTACATGCTAATTTAACCGGCAAGGATCATGATCACCTTTTCCTTTTGGAAGATACCACTCCAGGCTAGTACGTGTATGCTATTTTGCTCATTTAACCTGATGAGCAAGAGAAAATAACTACTCTAGATTTGCTGGGCAGACATTTCCCTATCAGAGTATGAGAAATCTGAAACCCCAGAGAGTCTGGGAAGTGGCTCAGTAGTAATGGTACTTGCCACCAGGACTGATGACTTGAATGACAGGACCCACATAGGAGAAGGAGCAAGCCACCTCAAGCACAGTGTCCTCTGACCTTTATGCCATAGACACATACACATGTACACACACATGCACACACACACACACACACACACATACTACATACATGCCATATGTGAAGTTTGTAAGGTTGTAAGGCACCAATGGTGGAGGATATTTCCAGGAGTCATTCATTTCACCTGGACTCCAACCCCCACCCCAAGCAAGAGCACAGTTGCAGGTGCCTCTTTGAATTTGGGAGTAAGTGTAGTCTTCAGCGTGGTGTGTTACTGAGTGGTGGGAAAAGCAGTTACCCTTGAGCGGGACCCAGAAGAAGAGAAACCAGGCCTAGGGCCCACAGAAGCTTCTGTGCCAGCTGGAATCACAAGTCCAAACACAAGCAGCAAGCAGTCTTTAAAGTAGTGGTAGCTATTGTGGTCCAGGATCTTCAAAGGTTCCTGAAGGTGAAGTCACAACATAAGACTTTTAGAACAAGGGCCCAACACCATCCGTAGAAAATACTTCTCTTTTGAGGCTAAAGAAACCCCTCTCTTACTCTGTTACTAAGTCTTTGTAGGAGTAAGTGCTTGACCAGGGGCCACCAAGTTACCGTGCGAGTTGAACACAAAATGAAGTGACTGTTGTCTAGCACATGAGACCAGAAGACTGAGTATGCACGGCCATACTCTATCATCTAATGGAAATAATATATGATATATAGTGTTCATATATGTATGAGCATGTATAATGATGCATATGAAAAATAATTCATGATAAAACATATATCACATATAATATAATAATGCACATATATGTATATATATGAATGATTGGGCCCAAGAAGTCATGTAACTTACAGGTGTAAGAGAATGTGTTACAGGTGTTACAGTCTAATGTTGCAGAGATATCCTGACTTATTGAGAAGCCAGGAAATACGTAGAGCTGCAATAGGACAGTTTTGGAGGCTAGAACTCCAATAGGACAACTCAACTCTTGAGGACAGAACCGCAATAGGACAGTTCAGCTCTGGATGTTAGAGCCACAACAGGACAATTCAGCTCTGGATAATAGAGCCACAATAGGACAGTTCAGCTCTGGAGGACAACCGTCTGACTATCGGGAAGTCAGGCTACCTAAAGCTGGGGTACGGTGGACAATGGTCTTCCCGATCATAAAGTGATCCCACTCTACTCCTTGAGAGCTGCTACAGCTGAGTTCTGCTCTGTTTCCTTAAGGGAACATCTTAGCAGAGCTATTCGCTTCTTTTCTGGCCCAAGATGTTTCTTCTTTTGCTAACACTCGACTTCCAGAGTATCCTAGCAAGGTTCTTCTGTTCTTCTCTGCCTTGCTGAGGCCCCTTAGAAAGTGTCTCAGCAGGGTTTTTCAGCTTAGCCCCCTAAGGGATGTCCCAGACAAGTTTTTTAGTCTGTACTGGTGAATGAAGGTCTTCACCCTTTTAAGAAAGATTTATTTGGGATGGAGGAGTCCAGGAGAGTGATTTCCTTTGCCATGAAGGGATTTACAGTGGCTTTTAACTGAAGGGGCAGAGAGACAGCAGAGAGGCTTATATAGGAGTTTTTCCAGGGAGAAGGGGGATTGGTTAGTTTTTCCTGCTCAGGGATTGGTCAGTTTAGTTGGTCAGGGGCAGAGATGGCTCTGACTTCATGTCAAACTGTGTTTCTTTCACTGGTCCTTTTCGGATTTTTGGCTCTACTCTTAGGACCAGGGCATATTTCTTTCACTGGCTCTAATTCTAAGGACAAAGAGTGTTTCTTTGATACTAGTTTCAGAGTCAGGGCACATGTCTTTAGTCCTGGGTTCAGGGATAAAGATATCTCTTTCCCTGGTCCAGGTCTTAGATCAGGATGTTTCTTTCACTGGCTCTGGGTTCAGAGTCAGCGTGCTCAGTGATTGGTTGGTTTCCTGCTCCAGTTGTCCCTTTCACACTACAACAGGACCAAGTGGTTCAAATACCCAGGGTCCCCCTCCTGTGACCTGCATCTCTCTCAACTAGTATTAAAGTCCTCTCGGAGGATTCCCTGATTGAGCATGAGACGACTTGCTCCTGGCTTGCAGAAGGTTCACAATGCGCAGGCATGGTCTAAAATTGGACAGCTATAGAACACGGGACATTACATAGCAATTCATGGACTGTACACGATGGTTCTGCCGTGTGACTGTAAACTTAGGGAGAATGTGACTGAAAATGCCAGATGTGGTGGTATACAGCGGTAATTCCAGAACTCAGCCGGCAGAGGTAGGAGGGCCATCAGCTTCACAGTCAGTGGGAAGCCAGAGTGGGACAGATGAGAACTTGTCTTAAAGAGGAGGGGAAGCAGGAAGAGGAGGTCATTAATCACTCAATTAAGTAATTTGGAGACCAGGTATGCAGTTTGACCTCCCAGAGTGAGCGGATTAAAAGTGAAAGCATTTGTGTTTCACACTAGTGCTCACCAAAGGATGACTTCTTAGTAGAGAAGTGTTTTAGTGATCAAATGCATAAATCAACTCATTCTCCAGACACCAGCAGCCTCCTTTCTCTGCCAGTCTGGCCGTTGCCCTGGAAACTCATAAACAAAAGGCTGAGGTGACAGGGACAGGTCATTCTTGCCTCGGCAACATGGTCGTTTTACCAAATGAGCCCCAGCCATCACCAATTGCCTATTACAACACTGAACTCTGACACAGCATTGTTCCTGAAGTAGAATAAAGTAGAAAGGACTAATTATTGAATAATGATTTATTTAGTGACTCACATAAAGCACGGCTTGTACCGCCTACTGGCCAAGCATGACTTCAGTTGCTCACTGGAGCACAATGACCTGAAGAAATGGCTGGAATAACGGGCCGTTGCCCTTAACAACCTACTGACTGCCACGTCGATGTCTGTAAAATCTTGCTTGCTTGCCCCACCTTGTGGTTTCAGAATATAAAGTGAATTGCAGAGTGATTCGGAACTGTCTTGGCCTCAGTCCACCAGTGAGTAAATCTCCCTTCCGTGTTCATAGGCATTGGACTGCTTATTCTGGATGGACTCCCACAGAAGACCTGCAAAATGTCTACACACCACGACATCTCACAAAGCCTTGATCAACAAACCCACTTCATAGCAAAGAGAAGAGAAGAGTAGCAATGGGCCCATGTTTCCGGAAATCCTTACACAGGTGATGTGGTGTAGCAACGCAGCGGCCTTTTGGAGACAGTTACAGCACCAGCTAGGTACAATATCTTGTGTGGCTGGGTCCAGGGTCTCCAAAAGGCTGTATACATTTGAGTTGGTAGTGAATACATGACATCAAGATTCACGTGGTAACCAGGAAGTGGAAACGGAAGTGGTACCTTTCACTCTTCCGCCTTTAACACGCCAATGTATTTTTGCTTCTTGTTCTCATGACTGTATGCTTGACTGACACAGAGGTCACAGTTACAAAGGAAAAAAAGTTCTTTCAGACAGAGACACAGCAATGACTCCACAGGTTGTCACCTTTTGTCACCTTGCCACTTTGCACTCCTCAGGTCTCTGAAGAAATAGGCAAAGAAGGACGCTACAGTGTCAGCTAATGTGGCCGGTCTTGACTCCCAAAGGAAATCTGAACAACTACTCCACAACAGAATCCAGGTTTCTCTGGAATACAGACAATGTCTGGGAGCAAGCCTTTCAGTACCTTGAGGTTACGGACAGGGGGAAACAACCACAGGATGTCCCTTCAGACAAACACTGCAAGAGTCAATATGCCACCAGCAAGGCTGCAGAGCTGCTTGGTTAGGACAAAGGGGCCATAGATGGAGTCACAGAGGAAGACAGCAAAAATACTATCTGTGCCATGTGAGCAGCCGGAATCGTGTGTGTCTTCTGTCCTTGTAAAATAAAATGCTCTGACTTTATACACCTAGTTAACTATTCCTCATCCTATTAAAGTGACAAGATGTTGGGGGAAGGGCAAACTTCTCACGGATGTGGCCTCTGCGTTTATTTGCAGACGGTGTGGTTTCCGTGCCTAGCCAGAACTGTGGCTTCGTTGTTATCCTTGTTTGAAGATTAAGCATAAGCTAGGAAGGTGTGCGGTGCCCAGCTGACAATGGGTGGACCTTTGGTGGTTCACTTTATGTGTTCCTTTGACAGGGTCAGCTGGAACATTGTTACTGGCCAGTGTTCCCGCAGCAGTGCTTCTGAAAGGTGTCGGAAGTGGAATCACCAGACTGAAGGAAGATGGCTGATAGAAGTGTAGTGTCACCTACCCACTGAAGCCCTGAAAGTAGAAGAACAAAGGAAGTGAGAATCTCCCCTCTGTCAGCCAGGATATCGCTTCCTCCTTACAGAACTGTGCTCCAGTCTGAGGCATGAAGGCTTTACCCAGGAGCCTTGCTCTATGAGACCTGAACTGAGGTTTACACTGTTGGCTCCTGGTTCTGACATCCTTAAACCCTGGAGATGGTTGTGAACCCACACAGGCCTCTAATTTGTGAATGGACAATACTGGAACTTTTCAACCTCTTTCCACCATAGGAAACCATGTGATAGATCTCCTTCGTTGATTTTGTTTTTCTAACATACAGCATGCTTCATAAAAAAAAAAACTGACAACATCCAGAGTGATTGAGATGAAGTCTGCAACAAACTTTCCAAACATATGATGAGAGTCAATGATATAAAGATTTAAAATTTCACAAATATATATAAATTAAGCAGCATATGCCTGTAATGTATTTGAAATCTGTGGATCAAATTCTATGTTAAGATTATCAAAACTTATGCTAAAACACTGATGACAACTTATGCTAGAGAGGATGTGGGGTAAAGGGATCACTCCTCCATTTCTGGTGGGAATGCAAACTGGTACAGCCCCTTTGGATGTCAGTGAGGCGATTTCTCAGAAAATTAGGAAACAACCTACATCAAGACCCAGCAATACCATTTTGGGTATATATCCAAAGGCTGCTCAACTGTGCCACAAGGACATGTGCTCAACTATGTTCACAGCAGCTTCGTTTGTCATAACCAGAACCTGGAAACAACCTAAATGCCCCTTGACCGAAGAATAGATAAGGAAAATGTGGTACATTTACACAATGGAGTACTACACAGCAGAAAAAAAAGACATCTTGAAATTTTCAGGCAAATGGATAGATATAGAAAACATCATATTGAGTGAGGTAACCCAGACCCAGAAATACAAATATCATACGTATTCACTGATAAGTAGCTTTTATATAAAGCAAAGAAGACCAGCCTACAATTTACAATCCCAGAGAACCTAGACAACAATGAGGACCCTAAGAGAGACATACATGGATCTAATCTACTTGGGAAGATCTCCTGAGTAAATTGGGAGCATGGGGACCCTGGGAGAGGATAGAAGGAGAGGGGAGAGAGAGGGAGGGGAGTGGAGAAAAATATATAGATCAATAAAAACAATAAAAAGAGTTAAAAAAAAAGAAAGAAACAAGTCACACAACCCCTTTGTTTCCTTCCCCCCACCAAAAAGGTTATCAGGCCTTTGCTGTTTGGCCATTGGGGATTTCTTACTCATTTTACATGTTTCCTCCCTGTGAGCATGCAGGCCACTGTTATCTTTTAACAGTTCACAGCATCCCACTGTACACTACTTTTGCAGTACTAGAGGCTGAACCCACGACCTTGTGTCTTCGGGGAAAGGACTGTGTCACTGAGCTATTCCCCAAGTTGCCACTGCACAGTTTTCAAATGTTATCTTTGTGCCATTCAAGTTTCTTCTGTGTTAATTATAAGTGCTTCCAATGTTGAAAGGAACTAATATTAGTCAACCCTCATCATGACAAAATATTTAAAGAAATATACAAAATAATATAGTAGAAGATTATTAAAAGAGACACAATCATTACACCTAAATGCATGTAAGCACATTCTATAAAAAAGATGGTTCATACAATTGATGTGGGATTCCCCTCTCTATGCTGTGAATATTATTGGTTAATAAAGGAACTCCTTTGGACCTATAGCAGAGCTGTAGGAGAACAGAGCTAAGCAGGGAAAATTAAACAGAATGCTGGGAGAAAGGAGGCAGAGTCTGGGAGAAGCCATGAAGACTCTGCCAGAGACAGACATGCTGAAACTTTGCTGGCAGGCTATGACCTCGTGGTGATGCACAGATTACTGGAGATGGGTTAAATTAAGATATAAGAGTTAGCAAATAAGAAGCCAGAGCTAATGGGCCAACCAGTGATTTTAATTAGTAAGTTTTCTGTGTGGTTATTTCAGTTCGGGACAGCCGGAACAAACAAGCAGTCTCCCTGCAACAAACAATATATAATTTTATTTGTTAATAGATAATGTGAAATTTAAATGACTTTAATCTGTTAATCAGATTCTGAGCACTGTCTCATCTTTGATGGTTGGCCATCTTACCAGCAGAGTTAAAATGGTTTGCAGCTAGCAGTAAGCAGACATTCCTGATTGGTTGCTCTCTCTTGTCTACATTAACATGCTACATTCTGATTGGCTGTTCTATACTGTCTTTGCTAATTAGCATGTTTCTTTGATGACTGTTACTTGAAATTTATGGTCTGGCAATATGAATACATTCATATTTAAACCCACAAAACATGTTCCTCCAGTTCACAGTTTCCCATGGATATAAATTTTACCCGATTCTATTTTACAACTTGTAAGGTTAAAACAATAATGACATGGTGAGAATGTTATGAGTTTGAGGTTCTCATAGGGCGGGAAACATAGATGTGGCGATCCAGCCCCAGGCTCTGGGGTTTGTCCTCACACTCTAGAGTCAACACTGACTTATGAAGTTTTCATCTTCTTACTGACTTCCAGCTTCATGCCGCTGTGCCTGGAAGAGATAGAAGGTATACTTTAAGTGTTTCTTAATTTCCTAAGGTTATGTTTTCCTGTGATCTGTCTTACTCCGTGTAGCCTTGAGAACAACGTGTATTCTCCTCCCAGGGAAAGGACATGCCCTGTCTGTTAGAACCCTTCCATCTAAAGCGTAGCTGGAGGACAGGGTCCCCTGACTGATTTCGTCTGGGTGAGAAGTGCGCTGTGCAGAAGGGACTGGCCACCCCATTGTCTTGCTTCCATTCCCCTAGCTATCACTTGCTCTACATTGTTGAGTGTCAAGTCAGGCAGATATTGTGTGTAATCACTATGTCTTCCTCATCCTCTAATGATCTTCCTTGTCCCTTTGACAGTATTTGCTTTAAACTTTATTCTGTAAGTGCCACCACCTGCTTTTGTGGTTCCCACTGCATGACACGCCCCTTTCTCCACGTGGACTTTGCAAGGGCCCTTAAAGCTAAATGAGCAGCTGGTGCCATTGACAGCACACAGCCAGAACTTACATTTTGCTTTATTTAATCGATTTGAACACTTTTTGCCTTTTTAAAAAATGAGATCAAGTCTCACTATGTAATCCATGGCTAATTTGGAATTCTCATTGAAGACCAGGCTGGCTTTGCACTCTGAGAGCTCTATCTGTCCACCTACCTCTGCCTCTCACGTGCTGGGATGAAAGGTGTGCACCGCCATGCCTGGCTTCAGTATTCGCCTTTTTACTGGAGAATCTACTTCATTTATTTTTGACATAATTAATAGTTTAAAATTTTATTGATGTCAATTTTGTATATTGTTTTCTGTTTCTTGATAGATAAGCATGCCAAAAATACACAATACTTAGATTCTAATACCAATCACAAAGCTCAATTCAAAGGTAAATTCTAAAATATAAAGCCACCCTAAGAAGCACAGGGAGAAAGCTGTTTTGTTTGTTTGCTTGTTTGAGACAGACCAGACTGGCCTCCCATTTCAGGACGCCCATGAAGTGCAGGGAAAATAGTTAGAAGCTACCAGGCCAGGCAAGGGAAAGCTTCTTGACATTAATACTGACTTTTTTATTTTTTTAGGCTTGGTACCCAAACATGAACACTTAAAACTTGACAAGTGAAGCTATATCGAGACAAAAAGGTCTCTAAAAGCAAAATAAAAATCAATGGAATAAAGAGGCTGGCAACACAGGCAAGAAGATGTGTTCGAAAACTGCCTGGCAATGGGTTAAAGCTCAACATAAAAAGCCTCATATAAATAATAACCATAAAGTTAAATTAGGGGTAAACGACTCAAACAAATGGCCAGAAGTATGCATAAAAGGGGCTAAATCTCATTAATCATCAGAGATAGGCATATTAAGCCCACAATGAGATATTATTTTATACCTATTATGTATATATAAACATATATATATATATATATAAATTTATAACATAATAGGTATGAAATAATATCTCATTGTGGGCTTAACAATATTTTATATATATATATATATATATATATAGTTTGTTAGAAAAAAGAAAAAAGAAAGGAAGGAAATGAGAGGGAGGAAGGAAGGGAGGAAGAAAGGAAAGAAGGAAGGAAGGAAATAAGAGAGGGAGAGAGGAAAGAAGGAAGGAAGGGAAGAAGGAAAGAAGGAAGGAAGGAAAAAGACAGCAAATGTCAAGGTGGCTTGAAATTTAATGGGGCTGGGTAAGCTCAATTGTAGAGCACTTATCTAACATCCAGGACCTGGATTCCAACTCTAGCACTGAAATAAATAACCCCTAGAACTGCCATATGACCTTGCAATATCACATTTGTGTGTGTATAATGACATTGAGTTTAGAATCTCAAAAGAGACCTGTGCCCCCTGGGGATCATTGTGGCATTAATCACAGTCCAATATCCACCAAGGGATTTGAAGTAGGATAGGGAAAATGTGATTTGTATTACAGCAAAATACTATACCTTACAAGAGGACAATGGGGGTGGGGATGGGAAGATGGTCTTCCAGAGGGTCAGAGCTAAGTTCCCAGCAGTCATTCATATAGGGTGGCTCACAAACATATGTAACTCCAGCTCTTGGGGTGTCTGGCACCCTCTTCTGGCCTTCACAGGCTCTGCACTCACACATACAGACATACACACATATAAAACTAAAACCTTCAAGTAGGAAAATTCTATGATTGGTGACAACATAGGTCAGCCTGGGGAGACAATGCTGAGTGAAGTAAGTAAAAAACAGAACAAACTATGTGATTTTATTGAGGAGAGAGCAAAAATAACCAAACTATTTGAAGCAGATAATAGAAAAGAGATTTCCAGAGCTGGAGGCAGGAAACCATGGGACAATGTTGCCATTAAACATAAGGCTTCGGTGATACAGATGAGAGGGCTGTAGGGATCTGATATAGTACATAGACCTTGTGGTTAATGTGATGATGCATGGACAAGATAGGGGAGTTTATGGCAAGCACACACACAGAGACACACAGACACACACAGATACACATACAAACATACACAGAGACACACAGATACATACAGACACACACAGATATACATAGACACACACATATACATACAGACAAACACACACAGACATACACACACAGATACACAGAGACACACACAAACACACAAACACACCACACAGATACACACACAGAGACACACACACATGCATGCACACACACACACACACACACGACTCTTAAGAGTTTCTGTATCTTATCAGTATTTTGGTTGTGTTGATATCACAGATTTACATATCTATCCAAGCTCACCAACATGTATAATTAAACCAGGCAGTGGTGGTGCATACCCAGCATTCAGGAGGCAGAGGCAGCTGGATCTCTGTGAATCTAAGGCCGGCCTGGTCTACCAAGCAAGT